AGCCTGTAGTGAGTTAATCTGTGTTTGGTTAAACTAGGGCTTCAGATATATTAAAATCAGGCTTGAATTTAATCTTGACTCTGTTTAGAGCTAAGGTTATGCTCTCAGGAATAAAGGAAACTAAAGCCTCCTTAAACCCTTCCAATTTATGAGTTTCCCCTTCATTTTTCTTAAAATTGCAACTATTGTAACCGTAGCAACATACTTTCCATTAATTTTCATAGATCATGTTGTTTTCATATGTAAGCATTTCCCATTAATCCTTTGAATAACTTTATGCCTATGAGTCCCTTTACAAATACCAAGGATCAGAGGAGCCAGGGGGGATGGCAGAAGTGCCATTGTGTATGTCATGTCATCAATTACATGCCTGTGTCATTTTGTGACATTATGATGTCATGAGGCAGTGTCATTTTGAATCACTGTGGACTCTGTTGCATGCCTTTTTCAAGGATTCACGGAAGCTGCTATTATCATGGAGTTGGATGATGAATTAAGATGCTAAGAATCCTTAATTCCCATGAATCTTTATGCCTAGGGTTAAGGGGTTCCTTTTTATTCTTGATTGGGAACAGAAGGTCAGCTTTACAAGCATCAGACTAAGCCATAACAAGGCAGGCTCAGATCTCAAAGAAGTTTTATGAACTGCGAAAGTTTGTTTCTGACCTCTTTCTTCTTGTGTTCATCATCAGACTAGACAGATGTTGCTGCTAAGACTAATTCTAACATTTATTGTACCACTTTTTTCATTATATATGTGTGGATAGGAATTTCTAGTACCAGTAATCATAAGTTAGATACATGGAACTTTCCTGCTCCAACAAGGCATTTTTCTAATCTTGATTTAGAAAATTAAGAGTCAAGATACTGAACTTTTGATACTGCAGAAAAGATATTTTTCAGATCCAGATACTGCAGAAAAGAATTTTTTATATTTCAGATTTGCCACTGCCCAGAGTCACCCCACAGTGAGATGGGTGGTGACAAATTTGGAATATAAATATTTCTTTTCTGCAGGACATCAGCAATCATCCCCTTCTTTGGTGGAGGAAACAGAAGATTATAACAAAAGATTATTGAAAAACTTAAAACTCAGTTGTAACAAACCAGCAGGGGAAAATGTGGATTTTCTTTTAGCATTATCTGTAACTTTTCAAAACCATCTTCTTCCATGTAGCATGCTTCCGAAGACCAGGAAGACTTGCATGACAATTGCCAGCTCTTTCTGCTATAAAAATTGAAACAGTGTACTGTGGCTGTGATTTAGGAGACCAATTTAAGAAGAAAAGACTCACAGCAGGATATTTCGTCCAAAATTTTTTATTAATAGTCATAAAGGCAACAAAGCCCGTGTGAATATATTACATCAGGGATTCAACCCCACTTGCCTTTAGAATGTTGAGATGCACACCTTGGCAGCACCTTCCTATTTCTAGTCAGGAAAGGTGGTTCTAAATATTCCATAAATAAATGTCCTTGAGTCAATTGTGGCTTGTCTCTTCTGCAGTGGGAACAGCTAGAAAAAAAAGACATAAAGGTTGCGCAGCCTAAGCATAGGTCTTCATAAATGTACCTCTTGCTATACAATCTCACTGTTTATTTGGATCAAGCATCATCAATTTACTTTTTTTTTTTTTTAGTCATAAGCATAATTGCTTAACAGGGTGGAATTTCTTCTCAAATTGCTGCGCATACAAATGAAACACTATGTAACTGCTGTGAATTCTCTTTAAGCTTCTGGAACCTGAAACTACAGAACCATCATCTTGCTTTTGAATTACTTTTAATGGAAATTGGGCTAAATTAAAAAAAAAAAAAAGATTTAGAAATTACAAGAAATATATATTGTATTATACACAGATAGCTGTGGCTTGTCAAATAAGCTATCTATCTATCTATCTATCTATCTATCTATCTATCTATCTATCTATCTATCTATCTATCTATCCATCCATCCATCCATCCATCCATCCATCCATCCATCCATCCCTGCTTTCCTACTTAGTAAAAGAAGCTATAAAGCCATTAATATGTATTAAGAAAACACATCAGTCAACCATCAATAGTCAAGTTAAAAGTGAAGAATCAAAGCAGCAGATGAAAACATGAGGAAGCTAATAACCAGGAAGGAATGAGACTGAATATTTTAAAAATGAAAAGAGTACCAAATAAATCAAAGGAGCATAAAACAGAGAAAGAAAGTTTGCTGTAACACAGGGTTTTTTTCCCCCAGCGCCCACAAAGAACAAAATGAGAGCTTGATCTCTAAGTACATGAAGTTCTTCATATTGGATGCTACAGTGTTGGAAAACCATGTATACAGAAATAACTGAGTCATTTCTCAGAGCTATGGAAGTTAGGCTACAAGGTCTGGGCTGTGACTCTCCAGGGAACTACTAGATCCTCTGGATGGTTGCTGTGTAGATATATCAGCAAAAATTCAGGTTTTTTTGTATCCTTTTGCCACCCTCTAAGGGTCACCTGGAGTTTTGCAACATTGAGCAGAATATGTTCAAGGAGCTCCATCACAAGCTGAGAAATGGCAACAGCTGGTAACCTATAGCCAAAGCCTTTTTTGTAAGAGCAAAAAGCCAACAGTTGGCATCTTTATCATTACTTTACTCAGTAAAAGAAAGAAGTGTAGCAGCACACAAAATGGTTTATGTTGATATCTATTTCTTAGACAAGGAATTGTTAGGGATGAGCCATACATTAAAAATCAATCTGACCCTTTTCCTTTTCCGCTCCTTTCCTTCCTTTCCCTAACTAGTTCATAAAGTATGCCCTGAATCTGATGGGTGCTTGAGGCTTGTTTCTATTTCTACTTTGAATTGACTCAAAAGGTGTCCAAAGATGTGACTAATATAGTAAAAAAAAAAAATACAGATTTTTTTTTAAATGTTCTCTGATGCAGGTGAATTGGGAAGGGAAGGGAAGGGAAGGGAAAGGAGACTTATTTAAAATGAGATCTATGATTCATACTGAGTCCAATCCAGCTCCAATAATGTCAATAGGCATTTTGCCTTTTCTGTCAATGTGAGGTGAATTACATGCCCATAAGGCCCAGCAGAATTCACACTAGTGGAAGCAGATATTTTTATAGCTACGCTATCAAGACTTTACTAGACAACCTTGCTGTTCTGCTTTTTTGAGTAGCATTTCCCAGGACCTTGGTTATCTCTCTTAGGTAGATTAATAGCACCATGGTGAGAGAGAATTTATTTTCTTGGATTTAGACATTCCCCTGACTCTTTTGACAGCAGATATAGATGAGTCTCATCCAACTTCCTAACTGAGAGCAAGCTTGTTTCTATGTCACTAATGACATTACTGTTTCAAGATGAAAGCCAAATTGATCTTCTGGTATTAGCAGAGAGGGAGAAGGAGAGGGTATATCTAAGCCAGTTAGTGAGAAGGATATTTACATCTCAAACACATTAAGAACATTTTCCTTCAGAGCTTTTGAAGTGCAATGTGTATGTAAATACAGACCCTCCAATGTTTTCATCTTCAAATGAACAGGTCTCTCTTAATATTTCACTCTGAGATATTACCTTCAAATAACTTTGGTGTCTGAGCTCCATACCAAAATGGCATGCAAATCAGAAGGTGCCAAAACTTGATCAAAAGTTGATACATTACCTTACTAGCTTAGAGTTGGTAGTTTTCAATGTATATATATTCAAAGAGCCTGACTGGGGCTTCAGCATTGTATTTACAGCCACCTGGGCATTTGTCCTCAGTGTCTAGTATTTTGAAGGACGGTCCCTCTGAAATGGGCAAATCAATATGACCTGTATGGCTGGGGTAAGGAAACTCGTATTTAGCAAAAGTTGAACCTTTGCATGTTATGGGAAGAAATGATATGTTCCTTGCAGTGTTCCAGGTCAGAGCTAGGTCCAAATTGATCTTAAGAAAGGCAATCAGTTTACCTCTTGTGTCATTGTCCCCTCATAAATAAACAACACATTGTGTCAGAAGCAAAGTTGGATTCCTGTGCAGCTCTGATGACATTGCTAGAGACTCAAGTTTGACAAAAAGAAAAAAATAAGAAAGAAAGCCAGTTTGGTGTACTGGGAGGCCATGAGTTCTAATCTTCCCTTAGGCATGAAAGTTTGCTGGGTGACTCTGGGTCTGCTCCTTTCTCTCAGCCCAACCCACCTCACAGGGTTGTTGTTGGAGGGAAAATAGAAGGCGGGAGTATTATGTCCATTGAGTTGTACAAAATAAAAGGTGGGTTATACATTTAATCAATAATATTAGCATGCAACTTGTTAACAGAAGAAGGTCTTAGTATTACTGCATATTCAAACCATAGAAAGTCAACACAAGGCTAGAAAGCCATTTTCAGCATTACTAAGCAGCCATTAGAGAAGAGCACCCTCTTTCGTGTTAGCTGAAGAGTGACAGCCCTATTATTAAAAAAAAAAAATGCTCTAAGGCTACCGACAGAATGGCAATACTATCCACAAAGATTTCTGTTGTACTTGATAGCAATTGGCTAACAAAGAGAACAGGTAGAAAATAGCACCTTTCCTGACAGTAGTTGGAGTAGATGTCCTTTATTAATTTATGTGATCAGTTTATATACATCAAGTGATGCTAACAAGGGTTAAAAACATCAAAAAGAAAGAAAGATAGGGGAGAGAAAGGAGGGAGGAAAATGGTAAAATAATACATAAAGTACATAAGGTAAAATATGTGCCAGGGATGAGACCCATGGCTGATATCATACAGTTAGCACATGGAAATGAATCAGGTCTTCAGGACCTTCTTGAAAGCCAGGAAGGATGGGACCAACCAAATTTCAGGACAGAGGTTGTTCCATGGGTTAAGATGGAATTGTTTAATTGATGGGACCCAGAGCATGCCAGCCCTGTCAGATCCTATAGGGTGGGCAGAGACAACTGGATGCAGACATCTCACAAATAACCAGACCCTATGCCCTGAAATGTATGATACAGTTACTTCCAACGTATATAATATGTTTACATTCACAGATGAAGAAAGAAAGAAATTTAAAGCCATACAGCAGAAGTTTGAAGCTGGCCTACTATGTGCCATGAAAAATGTAACATTGGAAATATTTGTCTTCAGATCACATCTACAGAAGAGTTGAAGAATCTCTAACAGGTCTGAAAGTAAGGAGTAAGTCTTGTGACTTTGGTTTTTGACAGAATTTTTGATCAAAGATCAAATTGAAGCGTAATGAAACATGCAAGAATGCTTACTTAGGTAAACTTGTCTAGAAAATGCTATTGCAGTAGAAATCATTCACTTGCAATTGAAAGGTATGGGATACCGCAATGATATTACTCTGATATTGGCAGACCTTCATGCAATTGGTCAGGAGACCAGCTAACTCTAGTCGGAAAAGCAGCAAGCAAAAAAAAAAAAGGCTTGGAAATAGGGAAAAGTATATTTAAACAAGACAGGATGCAATAGGAAGCATAACTATAAAGGATGTCCAACATATCTGTAGAAATGTAACAAGTGTGGATATTATAACAATGTGCCTAAAATGTGCCAAACTCCAAAAACCAGTCAAGAAATAACAACAGAAGTGCCGAAGGAAACTGAGTCTAAAGAAGATAATTTCTTCATAGGCTGAATAGACGTAGACTAGAAGGGCCATCAGAAAAAAGTCTTGACTGAAATAATATCCCCCAACGGAATGTCCATGCCTTCTAAGATTGATGCTGGGAGGCAAATCAGTCTAACAGCTGAAAGCGATTGCATCAGACTGAAGCCTAAACTAGACCTTTGTCTAGTATCCATGTGTCCAAGCTGATCTCAACAAATGCAGTAACTTTGCCTCTTGTGTCATGGCTGCCTCATAAATGAAATAATATAGCTAATAAGTTTTTACTTGAACTATCATCTATTAAAACCATCTGGGTTAGAGGGACCAAGGAATTCCATATGTTAACTGGCAATTGTGTGAAAGAGAGTTTTTGTGTTCTCTGTCCTGAAGTCGCTGCATTCCTTTAATGGGGCTCAGTCCACACAAGCAAACTCTCAGTGGCTACTTGCAGGAAGCCCTGGGTAGTGCATAACGGATATACCCATTCCCATCAGCTTTTTGTGTAATAATTCAGTATCCATGCTCCATTTTCTCATACTGCGCCCATCTCTTGCTGTCTGTCCCAGATATATGTAAATTTTCCACAAAGTGTGGTACCTTCAATCTTTACTCTTCCCATCAACAGCTCCGTTCAGTTCTTAGATTTACTGCACAGTCCGTTTTTAAAGTTTAAGCAGTTGGAATGTTTGCAACTTTGCAAATTGGGGACAGCAACTAAATCAAGAGATAAACCCATGCCCTTTAAATTTATCAAATTCCCATTTCTAAAGCATCTAAATGAAAACTGTGTGACTGAACACAGTTTCCATATATGCCTATAACCTTCCTTTAGATCTTGTTGTTTAAAGTGGGAAGAGTGTGGCAGTGAGTTGACAGGGATGGCATGTGTAATCCTGCAGCATAGAAAGCAAAAGTTTCTGTTTTGCTGGATATCTGCATGCTTTGTGGTTTCTTTTTCTCTCCATATGGATAAGTGCCCTATCAGATTATCAAAGGGTGACTCAGTAAAACAAGTCATATAATTATAGCTGAGCTATCCCTAAGACTTTGATTGATTTAAACAATTTTGCTAGTCAATCCCATTTGATAACAGCTTGACTTCACTGGGGAATGACCTTTGTAGACAAGATAAAATAATTTTTCCGTGTAGATCACAATCCAGCAAGTTGGGATGCACGTAAGAAAGGCTGTGTTTTGCAAAAGAAAAGCTGAAAGAAAAGCAAGGGTGGATACAATATAAGAGCATTTTCAGTGAAGTTTACCAGTCAATATACAAAGAACAATACAAGTGGCTGAAGAGGTGGTGGAACACCACCTGTTTATGACTTTCACCAGTCTCATCTGTCTTTTCCACAAACATATTTCCACTGGTCAGAATGGATCTCCATTTTGTATCATTCTGATGCCCTTCGAACAGTCACTCATGCCCTTGTTATCTCCCAGATAGACTACTGCAATGCGCTCTACATGAGGCTACCCTTGAAGAGTATCTGGAAGCTAAGGCTGGTCCAGAATGCAGCCGCACAGGCTATTGTTGGAGCCCCAAGGAGGGCCCATGTAACACCTCTGCTCCACAGGCTGCATTGGGTGCCAGTTTGCTTCCGGGTCCAATTCAAGGTGTTGGTTATCACCTTGAAAGCTCTACATGGCATGGGACCAGGTTACCTAAGGGACCGCCTCTCCCCTATGACTTCAACCCATCCCACCTGATCACACAGAGAGGGCATGCTTCGGACCCCCTCAGTGAAAGAACTTTTATTAGCAGGGTCCAGAAGGCGGGCCTTCTCTGCGGTAGCCCCCACTCTTTAGAACATTCTGCCCCCAGAGGTGTGATTGCCCCCCTCACTCCTGGCCTTCTGTTAAGACCTGGTTCTGCCACTTGGCCTGGAGGGAGGAGGGAATACTTCAAGCATGAGGATGGCTAGCCCCATAGAGGCCTTCTGTCTTCAGCCTCAGATTTTTCATTTTCTTGGACTCTCCTTCCCCTTTTTAGTAATGTTTTCAGCCTCAGATTTTTCATTTTCTTGGACTCTCCTTCCCCTTTTTAGTAATGTTTTTAAGTGATGTTTCATGTATTTATATATATTTATGTTTTTAATGTTTGTTGTGAGTTGCCCAGAGTTCCCCCATTGGGGGGAGATGGGGAGTTAAAAAATTAAACAAACAAACAAACAAATCACACAGAACTAACAAATTAGAAACACACACATACTGTACATAAGCATTTGTGATGTGGGATAACTCCGTGCAATCTTTTGATGTGTATTTTACTAAAAATTATCACCAAATCTAAAAGGAGCTCATGCAGAACAGTCAAAGCTTTGTATGTAATATTTAACGTGTATATATCTTGCTGGGATGTGGTGTGCAGTAACATTCCATGATAATTCTAGGAACAAAAAGTCCAGCTCTTCTCTCCTATGCAACTTCTTCTATACAACTGCTCCCCCCAACACTTGATTCTAAACTGATCCTCCATAAAGCTCAACTTCCATAGATAGTTTGGGAGCTCAGTGATTAATCTTTTTGATGTTTCATAATACTCATAAATACATTGGGGAAGGGAAAGAAGCGGATTTATTAGATTTGGTAATGGCAGATCTGCCTCAGATCAGAAAGACGTTTTGCATTCGGTTATCTATCAGCTGCTCTGATCACAGTGTCTTGAGGGAAGTGGCCATATTTAACTATTTACTCACCATACTGTTTCTCTCTCCTACTTTTAGAAGAAATTCTGTGTCTGTCCTATTGTGTAACATATACACACATATGTAAAGTTTTTATATTTCTATCCACTTTCTACTAATTTCAATCTACTCATGAAGCAACATTGTTATTTCTTGCCACCTGCCTTTCCCTTTGCACATTTGCACACTCTCACAGACACAGACACACAAACCCATTTTGCCATAAATATTCTTCACTGTAGGACAATTCTGTCTTAAAAATTAAAGCTATGGGCACTTGAGGAATATATATATATATATAAAAGTTCAAATACACCAGTCTGAAAAGTTGGCATGTTTCTTCCTCTTATAATGTCCTAATTTACTCAAAAATTCTGATAAAAATTATCATCCTGTTTTGATAAAACCTAAACATACTTTAGCTGTTTATATTTTCGATGTCAGATAATGAGAGGACAGGCAATAGGGCTTTTTTAAAAAATTGGTTCATGCTCCATAATTTAGGCAAATTAAACTCCTCTGAAGCTGCAGAACAGGTTAGCTACTGCTGTAGAGCATAACCATAATCTTTAGATGATAGGACTCACTGCTAATAATCTGTCCTGTACAATATAATACTTCCCAAAGTAAACCTAGCATCGCCTACATGGTACACAATGTGATTAGTTCTGTAAAAACCGGGAAGAAGTTTCTCAATACACCATTGTTGGTAGTTTGCACTCTTGTTCCAGAAGTTAGGGAGATCAGCCCTATCTGAAGAAGTATTTAGAGACCCATGGAAGAATTGAACTTCAGGATCACCCTCTCCTATTTGTGAAGAAATCAGCACATTTTGGGTTAAAAACACAAACCCAGACACAAAGTAACAAAGAGAAAAATGAATCAAAATATTATGCATACATACTATCCAAATTCAGTATGTACTATCCTGAGAATGGAGAGACTCATCTTAAATCAACAGCAGAAACATAACTGAATAAGCAGTAACTCACCCACAGTTAGGAGCTGAGATTTGAAGTAGTCAATCTGATGTCAGAATCTGTCAGTTTAGCTTTCTCCTTAAAAAAACAAGCAAACAAACTCTTTTTTCCCATTTCTTAAAAAATGGTAAGGGGTTTAAATTCTTATGGAAAGATGAACTGAATTAAACTCTTAGTCATTCTTAACTTTCAATTCATATGCACATTTTTTCCAAACATAGCACACTAAGTAATGAGAAAAAGATTGGCTTCTGTTCTTCCTCCAAATATTTTATAATCTGTTTTCTACTGTAGTCCAGTTAGTATTTGGCTTGGGAAGTAAAGGCAAACTATGTACCTACTGGATCAATTTCAACATGACTTTCAACCTTAATCCTGATGAGTAAAATAGAAATAAACACTTATGTAGGGTGATCTGATTACTAACGTGATCATGGTTCCATTTGTGCACAATATTAAATAGCAATAAAGTCTTCCATGCATGAGTTTTAGGTTTTTGTTCCTCCCCTTCCTCTCTCCTCCTCTGAAATAACCAAGCAGAACAAAAGTTTCTGATTATATTTTCAGTTAATCACAATTTCTAATTGTTCTGACTCTGAAACTCTGGTTCAATTTAGCTAGGATATATTGAAAGATGCCAACGACAAACCATGGTTGAGTAGTTATAAGCCATACTGCTAGTATAGTAGTCTGTCTGTCTCTCTGTCTCTCTGTCTCTCTGTCATCTAAGACATCTGAAAAATCCAAAATGTAGAGAATGGGTTATAAATGACATGTGAAAGACAAATCTGTCAGTGCACAATAGAGAGACCTGGGTGTTCCAGGGATGAAG